TCAGCATCCCCATCCTCCTCCTCCTCCGTTTCCACCGTCATCTCCTCTTCCTGCTCCTCCAGATCCATCTCCGCCTCCACCTCTTCCTCCTCCTCCTCCCCCGCCTCCTCCTCCTATTCCTCATCCTCCTCATCCTCCTCCTCCTCCTCCTCCTCCTCCTCCTCCCCCTCCTCCGCGACCTCCTCCTCCTCCACTTCTCCGCCTGTTCCTCCTCCTTCTCTTCCTCCTCCTCCTCCTCCTCCGCCTCCTCATCCTCCTTTTCCTCCTCCTCTTCCTCCTCCTCCTCCTTCTCTCTCCTTCTCTCTCCTCCTCCTCCTCCTCCTCCTCCTCCTCCTCCTCCTCCTCCTCCTCCTCCTCCTTCCTCCTCCTCCTTCCTCCCTCCTCCTCCTCCTCCTCCTCCTCCTCCTCCTCCTCCTCCTCTCCTCCTCCTCCTCCTCCTCCTCCTCCTCCTCCTCCCCTGCTCCTCCTCCACCCACCTCCTCCTCCTCCTCCTCCTCCTCCTCCTCTCCCTCCTCATATCCTCCTACTCCTCCTCCTCCTCCTCCTCCTCCTCCTGCTCCTCCTCCTCCTCTTCCACCTCCTCATCCTCATCCTCGTCCACTCCTCCTCCGCGTCCGCCTCCTCCTTCTCCTCATCCTCATCAGCATACTCTTCATCGTCAGCATCATCATCATCATCATCATCATCATCATCATCATCATCATCATCATCATCCATCATCATCATCATCAGCTCACATCATCATCATCATCATCATCATCAGCTCATCATCATCATCATCATCATCATCATCATCATCATCATCATCATCATCATCATCATCATCATCATCATCAGCAGCACAGCATCATCATCATCACCATCATCATCATCATCAGCATCAGCATCACCATCAGCATCAGCATCATCATCATCATCATCATCATCATCTCATCATCATCATCATCAGCATCATCCATCAGCATCATCATCATCATCACATCATCATCATCAGCATCATCAGCATCATCATCATCATCATCATCATCGTCATCATCATCATCATCATCATCATCATCATCATGATCATCATCATCATCAGCATTATCATCATCATCAGCAGCATCATCAGCATCAGCATCATCAGCATCAACAACAGCAGCATCATGATCAGTAACAGCATCAGCATCATCATCATCACCAGCAACATCATCATCATCATCGTCATCATCAGCATCATCATCATAATGAGCATCATCATCAGCATCAGCATCAGCATCATCATCATCATCCTCATTATTAGCATCAGCACCAGCATCGACATCATCATCATCATCAGCGGATCATCAGCATCATCATCATCATCATCAGCATCATCATCAGCATCAGCATCATCCTCATCATCATCTTCATCACCATCATCATCATCATCATCATCATCATCAGCATGGCCATGATCGTGATCATAAGCATGATCAGGACCAGGATCAGCATCATCATCAGCAGACACATCGTCGTCAGCATCAGCAGCCGCATCATCATTATCAGTTTGATCATCATCACCAGCATCATCATCAGCATCATCAGCGCCAGCATCAGCGTTAGCATGAGTATCACCGTCATCACCATCATCATCATCATCACCATCATTAACAAATTCAGCATCATCAGCAGCATCAGCATCATAATCCTCATCGTCATCAGCACCGTCATCCTCATCAGCATCATCCTCATCAGCATCAGCAGCAGCATCAGCATCAGCATCATCACCCTCATTACCAGCATCAGCACTGCCAGCATCATCATCATCAGCATCATCATCGCCACCAGCATCATCATCATCAGCATCATCATGATCATCACGATCAGCATCATCATCATCCTCAGCATCCGCAGCATCATCAGCAGCAGCATCATCATCATCAGCATCATCAGCAGCATCAGCATCATAATCAAAAACGTCGTCATCATCATCGTCATCATCATCAGCATCGGCATCATCATCACCATTAGCACCAGCATCAGCATCACCGTCATCATAATCAGCATCATCATGTTCACCATCTGCACCATCATCATCATCACAAGCAGCATCATCATCAGCAGCATAATCATCATGAGCAGCAGCATCATCGTCATCGTCATCATCCTCACCATCATCAGCTTCATCATCAGTATCAGCATCAGCATCATCATCCGCATTAGCATCATCAGCATCGTCATCATCAGCATCATCACCACCACCATCATCAGCATCATCACCATTAGCATCAGCATCAGCATCATCAGCAGCACCATCATGGCCATAGTCACCATCATCAGCAGCAGCATCATGGTCATAGTCATAATCATCAATAGCATCGCCATCATCACCACCAAAACTATCATCATTAGTATCACCGTGATCATCATCACCATCAGCATCATCATCAACAGCAGCAGCAGCATCAGCATCATCATCAGCACCAGCATCATCATCACCACCACCATCACCATCACCAGCATCATCATCATCATCATCATCATCATCATCATCATCATCATCATCATCATCATCATCATTAGCATCAGCAGCATTATCGTACATATCTTCCACCCTCGTCCTCATCCTCCTCCTCTAAGTAGCATTAGGCTTTCTATTTTTATTATCAGTCTGCCTCATCCTCCTCATCATCATCATCACCATCATCACCATCATCATCATCAACACCATCAGCATCACCTTCATCGTCGTCATCATCATCAATACCAGCATCATCATCATCAGCATCATCATCAGCATCATCATCACCATCATCATGATCATTTCCATCACAACCATCATCATTAGCATCGTCCTCCTCCTCCTGGTCCTCCTCCTCCCCCGCCAACTCCTCCACCCCCCCTCCTCATCCCCCGCCTCCTCCTCCGCCTCCTCCTCCGCCTCCTCCTCTTCCTAGTGCCGCTGACGCCCCCGATGCCTGACGCCCCTGACGCCTGACGCTCCTAACACTCCTGACGTTCCTGACGCCAATGACGCTCTTGACGCGTCAGGAGCGTCAGGAGCGCCAGCGCGTCAAAAGCATCAGGAGCGTCAAAAGCGTCAACAGCGTCAGCACTTGTGTCGGGGGCGCGCTGCGCCAGCTCTCACTCCTGGCACAATCTTAACCGCATGATTCGGCCAGCGCTGGCGTCCACAATGTCTGTGAATGTAAAGATAAGACGAGAAGAATATATTTACACAACGTGCTATTGATACGTTCCGAGGATTCCGGGATTTCTAACAGCCTTCGCGCGGGGTACACTTTGCGTCGAGTATTGTCTAATTTGCCTGGCGCCATTGGTCGGTCACCCATTCGCAATCGAGTGGTCGCCCGTAGGGGGCTATTTGGCACCTGCTGATCCCCCTTTTTGTTGCCGAACGCGGGGGGCACGGTGGCGAACCGTCCCGTCGCCCGCCGCCACGCACCGCGCGCCTCGGCGGATTCCCAAAACCTGGCACGGCAAACCAAGTGAGACTCTGGAAAATGATCCAAAAAAAAATTGAAAAATCTGGGAACGTTTTTGAAAATGTCCGGCCTACTTTTTGAAAAATCCCAGAATCGATTTTGAAAAATTCCGGGGTCGATTTTAAGAAATTCCGGGATCCATTCTGATCGATTCCGGATTTCAAAAATTCTTCAGATGTCCTGCACGGCGGGCGCATTCCACCCCTCAGAACTGTCTTTTGTTGGGAAAATTTCCAGACTCCTTTTTGAAAACTTCTGGGACCGCCAGCGCCCAAAAAAAGGGAGCGTTGTTTGAACGATTCTACAATCCAGAAATAATTGCCGAGCGGTCTGACGGGCTCGGCCAGCTGATTCACGCGCCGCGCCGCGCGCAATTGGGCGCAGCGCGCGCCGCGCCCTGCGCCCGCGAACAGCACTCGAAAGGTTTACCTCGAAAGTCGCGGCACGGCAGCTGCGACTCGCGGACTACCCACGAGCAGAACAGAATGCAGCTTGGAATCTCCGAGTGCGCTCCGATGCGCGAAAAATACATCGCGCACATCACGCAAAGAACCTGCGCGACGGAATGCGTTCGACCATTCGTCCCTGGGGCCCGCGCGGAAGAACAGGAAAACCTGGAAATCTTGAAAACTATCAATATCAATACTTCATGCTCCTCTGTAAAGAGCTCAAAGCTTCGTCTGCGCCTGTGCTCATGGCGCTGCTGAGCCTGCTGTTGACGGCCGTCTGCCAAGCACTGCAGGCTGACAGTCAGAACGATAAGGTCGAGGTGTAAAGCGCGGTTCAGCAAACTGTCGTTCGTTCCCCCGGCCTACAGAAGAAGACATGAAGCTGCTAAGCACACCATCGTGGAACTGTCTTTCCAGCTTCAGCCCTCTGACGGGGTGCCTGGTCACCGCCCTCGAACGAGCTTCCCCCAATCTGGATATTATCCGGATCCCAGGTCGCACGACTTCGCGCATCGCGCCCCGCGGTCATCTTCGCGTCCTCGCGCCGCTCCCCTTGCCCGGGCCGCGACGCGCGCAGCGCGATCCTCTGGGCATCCCTGCCGAGCGGCAACGTCAGGGGGGGACCGCCTCAGTGGGGGGGGGCACATCGACCCGGAATCGGCGCTACACGTCGCCGACAGATCCGCGATGGGCTCCCGATGGCGGAACAGCGCGATCCCCTGGAGGGGCGGGCGATCGGCCCACTGTCAGGGATCACTCGACGATGCGTGCCCCCCTGGGCACATCCCCCCTTCACGTTGCCCGTGGCCCTGGCCAGGCCGCGACGCGCGAAGCGCGGCTCTCGTGGCGCCACCGCGGGCGACCAAGAGACCGCACCGCCCAGCACGCCAGAGGAGGCGGCAATCGGCGGCGAAGTGAGAAGGAGAAGGCCTTCTCAGAAGGCTCGAAAGTCCCTGGCCTTCCCCGAGGACACAGAGAACTTCTGAAGGCGCGAGGGCTTCTGAGAAACCCCACCGCCTTCTGAGAAGGCCTTCTCCTTCTCACTTCCCCCCCATCGCTCGCCGCCGAGGAAAGGGCGGAGCACTTGCGCGAGCCCATCAGCACGTCGGGCGCTCGGTACCACAGCGTCACCACCTGCCGCAGGGGCGGCTGGAGGAGATCCCCGCTGCCACGTCTCGCTCCTCGCTCGGAATCCGCACTCCTCGCGGGCGGGACGCATCCACGTCCACGGCCCGGGGAACTGCTGTCCGGGGACCCCAGGAGGAGGAGGAGGAGGAAGAAGAAGAGGTGGAAGAGGAAGAGGGAGGAGGAGGAGGAGGAGGAGGAGGAGGAGGAGGAGGAGGAGAAGGAGGAGGAGAAGGGAGGAGGAGGAGGAGGAGGAGGAAGAGGGAGGAGGAGGAGAAGGAGGAGAAGGGGAGGAGGAGGAGGAGGAGGAGGAGGAGGAGGAGGAGGAGGAGGAGGAGGAGGAGGGGTGGCAGCCACCACTTGGGCAGCCAGGGGGCCCGACTATACATCCACACCAACCGCCTCCTGATGTCCAGGGAGATCGGTTTCCCAGGCGGTGGGTACTGGTAAATCCCAGCCTCGGATGGGCGGGTTCCAGGTCCTCTCCTGCTTCGGGGATCTCCCCTTCTTCGGGTGTTCGTCAAGGGCGGCAAGAAATGTAGGATGAAGAACGTGCACCGTTCGTACACCAAGATGGCCCACGGTGGCAGTTCAGGTGCAAGGATCCGGGACCACTTTCTTGCAATCCTCAAACCCTTCACGTTTATTGCCCCCCTACCGTTGCCGTCCGCCCGCTTCTCTTCCACCCCGCCCCGACACTTGCCGTTGTCCTCCCCATCATAGTTCCCGCTCTGGTGTTCCTGCTCCGCCAACCCGCGGCAGCGCAGCTGGATGGTGCGCCGGGTCGGGCTGTGGATTGCCTGGGTCCGCCTGAGTGTATCCTTCTCCTCCTTATCCTCCTTCTCGTGGTCATTTCAGTTCCTCCTTGAACCCCGGATAATAATGAAAAATGAGTGCGAAGTGTGACCGCGGTCCGCGAATAGAGCAATTATAAAGTTAAGCGTTTGATCCAAATAGCGGCCGAGGGAACACCAAAGTCATTCGGCAAGCTTTCTTCTAACACCTCCTCCTCCTGCTCCTCCTTCTCGTCTGACGCATCATCCTCCGCCTCTGACTCCTCGTCAGATTCCTTTGATTACTTCCATCGCTGACAGATTCATCCTCCCACCTCCTTGCACTCTTGGCCGCTAACATAATCGGCATCATCATCATCATCATCATCAGCATCATCATCAGCATCATCATCATCGTCTTCGGGGTCATCATGATCCTCCCAATCATCATGATCGACAGCAGCACCATCACCATTGTCATCACCACCACCACTTCCACCATCACCCTCATCACCATCGTCGTTACCGTCGTCGTCTGCACCATCACCATCATCGACGACCTGATCGTCATGGTCATCACCACCATCGTCATACTCAGCAGCATCAGCATCATGGGCATCAGCACCGACGTCATCATAATCATCGCCAGCCACCTTTACAGCATCACTTTCACCGATGACAGCATAACCAATATAATCAACAACACCACAATCATCGTCATCGTCTGCGTTGTCATCATCGCCGTCACCGTCATAGTCAGCATTATCCTCGCGCAGGAGAGGGAAGGGATATAGAACTGTGAAGCATGGAAGCGTTTCTAAGATACCAAACTTGGGCGACTGGCAATGGCAATGCTGAAGGTCACGATGATGTACAGGGCCAGGGGCTGTGCTGTGCTGCGATGAACTGAAATTGGCCATGCAGCGTTGAACTGCGTTGTGCTCTGTTGCATTGTGGATCACGTCGCTCTCGGCGTCAGTCCTGACCGAACTGATATGGATGTTAGGCTCGAGCTTCCTCAACGCATAGCTCGAAAAGGTTGGAGTGCTCGACCAGCTCGAGCTCAAGGTGTGTTTCAGATCCGTAACAGGACGAACCAAGACGGTGCGACTCCGAACCGACGCGAAACGCACCGAGCATGGACGGACCGAAGGGCGGCGAGCCAAGGCGCGACGAACTACATGAAGACGAACCGCAACAGTACGAGCCAGGACGAGCGCCGAACAGGCCCTACTCGAAACGGAACAAGCACAAACAAGACTGGGAAAAGCCGAATGCGCTTCGGCTCACCATCCTGAAACCCCACGGCGTCTCCTGACGCGGGAGCCGCTCTCCGAGGTGCCAGGGCCCCTCGCGAACGACCAGGGCCGTGGTCCTGGCGTAAGCCATCTTTGGCACCCCCATCCTGTCCGAACTGATCTGGGTCTTAAGCTGAAGCTGCCAGCGCGCATGGCTCGCCCAAAGCAGGCTGCAGTCGAAACATGCGGGGAGTTCAGCCAGCTCGAAGTCAAGATCCGATTCGATTCCGAAGTGGGACGAACTGGACGGGGGGCGAAGCCGAACCGAAACGAAACGCACCGACACAACGACAAGGCACCCGCTCGACACCTCCTCGAAAAATGCAACACCAACGTTTCGCGAGAGGCATCCTCAACACATCCGGCCGAAGAAGCATTTCCCTGCAAGCGAGGCCCTCGCTCGAGACATCCTCAACGAAACCGGCAAAGCAAGCGTGTCGCTCGAGAACCCCTCAACAGACCCTCATGTTGGACACCCACCTGGGAGACCTGGACCCGTGAAAACAAGCGTTTCGCTCCAGGCATCCTCAACAAGGTTCCTCATCTTAGACATCCGCCTGGGCGACCTGGACACCTGAAAACAAGCGATTCGCTCGAAACATCCCACAAATCCTCATATTAGACATCCGCCTGAGCGACCTGGACACCTGAAAACAAGCGTTTCGCTGGAGACGTCCTTTACAAATCCTCATGTCAGACATTCGCACGGGCGACCTGAGGCGACTCTTCAAAACAGGCGGTTCGGTCGAGACATCCTCGAGGATTCTTCGCGCAGAACGCACCATCCTTGTGCGAGCACGCGCAAAATCAATGTGTTAAAATTTTCTATGGGGAATACATGGGCCTCCAGACACTCTTATCAATGGAGACTTCTGGGCAGAACGCTCCGCAGCCTTTTTGTATGACGGAAAACGGGGGTCTGCGGAACCCGTTATTGATCGAGACTCCGAAATGGTGTGTGCGCTTTCCTCGAGCAAACACACGCACGAAACGAAAATATTCAACTGAAAACGAAACTCGATCCCATATGCGGAAATTCGCCGCCCCTTCTCAAATTGAGGGCTGGGGACAGTAGAACATAACGGAACGAGAACCCCGCGCCCTTTCCAAAACCATGATCGACTCACGAACCTGGAAAGAGATTTTGAACTGCGAGGCATGGAGACGTTTCCAAGCACCTCAATTGGGCGATGGGCAGTGGCAATGCTGAAGATACCAATGGTGATGACACTGTACCAGGGGCTGTGCTGTGCTGCTCTGCGCTGTGCCGCGCCGCACAGTGGCGCGTCAGGGGACGCGCCAAGGGACGTGCCAGAGGACGCGCCAGGGGACGTGCCAACGCGCCGCGCGATGTGCCAGGGGGGCGCACCACGGGACGCGCCACGGAACACGCCAGGGGGCGCGCCACGAAACGTGCCAGCGGACGTGCCAGGGGACGTGCTAGGGGACGTGCCAGGGGACGTGCCAGGGAACGCGCCGCGCGACGTGCCCAGGGGAGGCGCCAAGGAACGTGCCAGGTACGTGACAATGTTGATGGTGGTGCTTATCTGCGCTGTGCCGCGCCGCACAGTGACATGCCCAGAGACGCGCCACGGGACGCGCCAGTGAACATGCCGGGGGACCTGCCAGGGGACTCGCCGCGCAATATGCCACAGGGACGCGCTACGGGACGCGCCACAGAACGTGCCAGGGGGACGCGCCACGAAACGTGTCAGCGGACGTACCAGGGGACGTGCCAGGGAACGTCTCAGGGGACGCGCCGCGCGACGTGCCCAGGAGTGGCGCCAGGGAACGTGCCAGGGAACGCGCCCGAGGGACACGGTCCCTCTTAAATTACGCTGCGTCCCCGCTCCCAGGGCTAATATCCCCTGTAAGTTACGCTGCATCGGCCCTCCAAGGGCCACGAAGCACTCCACGGAGGTTGCCCAGAAGAGTCCCCCCCACTCCAGAGCAGAAAACAATACACTTCCGAACTGGGATATGTAATCGGGTGGTGCTGTTCTCCCCCCCGCCGTTTCCTGAAAGCTCTGCGCTGGACCCGAGGGCGCGAATCCTCATAAATTGCGCTGCGTCCACGCCCCCAAGGCCACGACCCCTCATGAATCACAACCCGCGTTCCCAAAGGCCAAGATCCATCGTGAATTACCCAGTTTCCGCGTTCCAAGGGCCAGGACCCCTCTCAAATGACGCCGTGTCCGCCCCCCCAGGGCGGAGATCCCTCGAAGGCCACGATGCGTCCGCGCTTCCAAGGCCAAGATCCTGGCAAGTTGCGCATCGTCCGCGCTCCCAGGGCAACGATCCGTCGGAGATAACTGCGACCGCACTCCCAGAACCACTTGGGCCTCCGGGGGCGCCCAGACCCCACAAGTTCTGCACACTAGGCGCGGGGCTCGGAACCTCCTCGAGAGACCTGCGCGCAGGGCGTGCGCCATCCTCCAGCGGGAGCGCAAAGAAAGTCAAGATGCACCCATGTCCCTTGAAATAATGTCAGGTTATCCAAACATTGCGGTTCAAAAATAATTCTGCTTTAAAAAGGATCTTTTTTTCACAAACCAACAAAACGCGTCGCACCCTGGTCTACACAAAGGAAAGAGGGAGTCTGCGGACCCCGTGAGGCCACGAAGATCCGAGATTGGGAGGCGCACGTTCCTCGAGCGGGCACCCGCGAAACGCACTCCGCCCATCCAAAGTGAGAAGCTACTATGTTTTGAAATCAACAAAATTAAAAAACCGCCCGCCCTCTTCAAACATGGCGCCAGGGACAACTTGCCACACTCAAAATCCATGGGCCGACGCCCTGTCTCCGAAAGTAGGAAAGAGAGAAGAGAGAAAGGTGGGGGAAGGGAGGGAGGGAGAGAGAGACAGAGAGAGAGAGACGAAAAAATATGGAGTGACATAACATCAAATCCGATCTTCCGCCCCTACCTTCCCTTCCACCTCCCCCTCCCTATTC